TTTGAAATGTTGTCCTGTGTATATAAGTACCTGTCCCTGCCCAGTTCTGCTGTAGGTCATTGTGAGTATTGTTATTGTCAGTGCTGTGAATTTGTAGATGTAGTATGTGCTGTAGGTGTTGTGCTGTTAGTTAGTCTTCATGGTATATCCTGTTTCTGGGTCATGTTTCTGACTGATTCAGTCTATAGTGTGGTCTTTTGTTCCTGCCAAATCATAGGAGCAGCAAAATTCATATGTCTATGACCTTTTAGCCATCCAGTGAGGTTCCTGACACAAGTAAAACAGCAAATATGAGAGGCTCAGCTCTTGTCTTGTTCACCTACATTGCAACCAGTTTCTTGGAATTATGCTACATTTTTTTATAAGAACTAAAATAACACATTAAAGTCAAAGAAATTAAGATGGGAGGGAAAAAAAACAGCATTTTGATGTTTACGCTTTGAAAATTGATCACGCACTGGCAGGGAACGGATCCCCAACTGACAGGATCCTGTCTCAACATCCCCATCCATGTACAGCCTGTAGACTCTGGCTAAACAGGCTTACAGTGCTTTATGTCCTTCTGTAAAGTCTTGGAAATGTTCCCAAATATAAACATCCATCCATTTTCTGTAACCGCTTGTCCTATACAGGGTCGTGGCTGGGTCTGGATTCTATCCCAGTGGCTAGAGGTGCAAGGCAGGGAACGACTCAGGATGGGGTGCCAACCCACCACAGGGACCACACCTATGGGGAATTTGGTAACTCAAATTAACTTCAGCATGTCGGACTAAAGGGGGAAACCAGAGCACCCCCATGATGACATGAGGAGAACATGCAAACTACAGACACTTGGAACCACAGCAGAGACTGAAACCCTGGTCTCACTGCTAACCATAGCTCCACCATCCCATGTAAAAACCGAATCATTTTTCCTAATTGAAACTTCAAAATAGACATCCGTTCGTATTAAGGAAGCATATACTTTTAATAAAGCGTCTGAGAGCAAAATTCTGAGTTCATTTCTGAAATCAGCATTAAAAGTACATTAAAGACGCCCCTTAGATGTTCTGTGACAAATTCTTCATTGCCCAGTGTTATCAAACTAAAAAGCAATGACTGCAGTTCCAGCAGGAACCACAAGATGTCCTCAGAGTGACAGTAAATGCAGGCAGCAGAGGGACACAAATATAAGACTGAGACCCATTTTTGCTAGACTATTTTTCACCCTCTATTTTTCCGCCTCTTCGCGGAGGTAGGCGGAACCGGCTTGGCTACGTCGCCCAGGCTTCCTGCGACGCGTTCCGCTCTCCGCTGGGAGAGACGCTCTCTCAAGCGTCGGAGGCACTTGCGTACCCTTTGAAGGGGGTACTGCTGCCCGGGAGGACGCTCCTCCGCGATGAGGTCCGCGCCCAGGGTGGCCAGTTCCAGGGCTACGGAATCCTCTTGTACCTCTGGCTGGGAGCGCCAATACACAGCCTCTTGCAGCAGACCGCCGCGCTGTGTTTTCGCGGAGATCAGTCATTCTGTCAGGGTGCGTGGAGCGGGCAAGCGGAGAAGCAGGC